AGAGCTTTTCCTGTTTCCTAAATTTAAAACCAAGTTGAAAGGAGATCGCTTTTAAACCATATGGGTGATTCAGGACAATGCGACAGCAGACCTGTGCGCCATCCCAGAAAGTGCTTTCCAGGACGTTATCCGAAAATGGAAACACCGTTAGGAACGGTGTATTGCCAGTAGAGCGGACTACTTTGAGGGAGATAGTGGATAAAATATTGTTTAATGAACAATAAAGATGTTGTAGTAAAAATACGCTTCCTTTTTGAACACCCCACTTATGCGTTAATGTAGATATTATAAAGAGTTCATAGATGAGCGTTTTACTTTGCCGGAACAAGTTTTCTTCTACGGAACTTAGTAAAATTAATCTGTTTCACCCGTATCGTATCACCGTGCAAATTACTTTTAGTTATTCGAAATTGGTTATATCAGAATGATTTGTAAGCGGTTTGCTTGACTACGAGACTTCGCACAGAAGTTTCGTCTGGCCATTTTAAATCAAGTATCGAACAATTCTTGGGTCGGTCACCATTTCATTATTAACACAACTGTTTTAGATGAGAAGAGAAGCAGAAACCACGCTAAGTGTCCATAGATGGAAATGCTGAGGGCACGCAAACTTACGTAACAAGATCAAGACCTGCAAGGTTGAGTTCCGAACTGTTCACTGTAATCTTGATAAGTAGCGATAGGCTGCGGTTGCTGAAGCATGTATTCCTCAGGGCTTGTTACCGTATTTGTGATGTATTACTGAATCTGGTTATTCTTGTTGAAACTAAAAACAACCAACAGCGCTGGATCCGTTCTTTTTGTTAACAGCTAAATGTATAGAAAAGTAAATTGTTCAGCTGATAATGGCGCGAGGTAACATACTCACATGCGCCTTAGGTAACATGATCTTGAACACTGTGAGTTTGGACATACTGCTTGCTTTATGCGCCATCTTTCGGACATTTGGCGGCTAAAACCATCCTTGCACCCGATGTTCGTGTTAATTCTTCGACAACGTTTGGACCAGATTCAATTTAGCAATCTGTCAAACTTGTCCATCCGAAAGATCTTAGAAATCTTGTGCGATGTGCACTGTTAAGTTCAGCGGCCAAAGGTGTGGCCACAGTTTGCATACGATGCAGGTGGTTGCATTAAGAGGGAGTGCTTTCGGAATTTGTCCGCTCTTAAAGTAGCATTGCGTTCCGTATTTCAGAGCTTTATTGCAGGTAATCATCGCTTATTCTGCTACACATAAAGACTGATTTCTAGCCGCTATCACAAGCTTAAATCTTAGGCCCAGCCGTTATAGAAAAGTTAAGTTCGGTCCTTATTCAAGATGCCCTACATACGGGACCCGCCCATCTTACCTAACTATTCTGGCAACCAATAATCCGACTGCGAAATGACATAAAGAAGTTGAGCTACCTTGTGAGCTCAAAGAGTGAAAAATGAATGCATGGAATAGTGCATACTACTGAATATCCGTGGGTATCTGTATCATTCAGTCAGCCATTGGTAAGTGGAAGCTGCGTATCCTTGGGTATTTTCCGTGTCAGTTCGGAAAAAAGGTGGGAACGGTTTTTACTCTGCACCAATTGTATTTAATTTTAAGCTCAAGTGAAGCAAACTTGCGCCGGTAGAACAACAGCATGCCTAACTATGAGGTCGGCAAGACGGGTGAGGACGAAGTCATTTTGCGGATAGAGGCACCAGTTCAATAGTGTAGGATGGGATCAAAAGCATAACTTTACATGACCCACAGGATAGATAGGCAAAAGAAAATTATAATCAAAATGTTCCAACGTGGAACGTGAAGTATCAGTGGTTAAACCATGGCACTTTATCAAACCGTTGTGGAGCGTTTAGCACTAAGGTGAAAGTCTAAGAGTCTTTCGAATGTCGTCATGTCTGGTACATTCACCACATATCTTGGTACTGCATTCTATTGAGAACAGATTTTGAGTAAAATTACTTTCTACAATTCAGACGGGAGTGTTGCGGCATCAGTTTTAGTTGGTTGCCTCAGCTTTGTTTTAAGGGGCTACGGTCAATAGTGATGTACATGGATGGTCGCTTTCAGTTAGTATCCGGTATGTGAGTATAAGATCTCCGCGAAGCCCTCGGCATTCTGAGGAGAACACACCGAGTACACGAAGACGCAGTGCGTAACTTAAACCGGATAGTCCACGTGTTGCCTTTGTGATATTTGTTTGGGATTGTTCCAATAAGCGAATGTCTCGTTTTAACCATGGACATCAGGCCTGAAATGCATATTTCACGTGAGGACACATAGGAGTTAATCAGCATTGATGCTAGCCGTCGCTCAAAGGTGCAAAGAGCTCACCACAAAAGTCTAAAGTTCAGGTTCGCCACAGTTGCTGCTTCCGAACATTGGAGCAAATTGCTAAGACTCTCTTGCACGATTATACCTAAGTCGCGTTCATTAGTTACGTGTTGCCCCACGGTGACCACTCAAGCACCTGTTTGAGAAAAAGGCGAAACAGTGATATGTACGAATGAAAGAACTAAGTGGAACAATTCGCATGACATGGGATCTACATAACCCGGTAACAAATGTGTCAGTAAGATGGAAAGATTGTTAGGTGGCTATTGTTTTGTCACGCCTAATGCGCACAAGCTACCGCAAGCATCCACTTGCTTGGTTCATACGACAGCCAGTTACTTTTAAATATTTACAGTAGAGAACAACACCTCATGGACAGAACGTATGGGAAATCCTCTGAAATCACTTTGTATCGGTTCTATGCTATCAGGGTTGTGGACCGGATGGTGTAGTTTTCTCTTCCTAATAACAACTGCAAGGCAGCTTTGGCGATTTACATAAAATTCCCTGGTTCTTACAATACAAAGAAAAGTTAGCCTACAAGGCAGGTTGAAAACGAGCAATCTACTTTTCAGAGTTTCATTTATCTAGGTCGAGTACGCGCTACCATGACAGAAAACTATTAAGTGATTGAGTAACCTAGTCGTTGTTTAGCGCTCCACAATCGTTGATAAGTGTGCATGGTTAACCATCAAACATTGTACTTTCTGCCTAGAGAATTAATGAATTGTTGATCAGTTGCCATAAGGGAATAAGGTTCGATGGCTCCCAATTTTCAGGAAACATAACCGAGTTATCTGAATATTATATGGGTACACCGTAGCTACTGATTTGCTTGACTCTATGATTCCACTTTACCATTTGACAGCAACGTGAATCAAATAGAGCAGGGTATATGGTTGAGCGATTTTCTTAAAGCACACTTTTTTGTGAACGCATTGCGACGCCGAATCCCAGCCTGTTTCGCGGTTCACTTTGAAGTGAACTTCAGTAATTTCGGTCACTGGAACCGTTCCAAGATGACTCACCAATGGATCAACAACCGTTATGACAAGGGTTGACCACGGCTTGACGTCTAGTGGATGAAGTATTCGACTGGCCTCACAGCTTCCCAGATTGAAGTCGCAGCCAGATCATCAACACCCGATGAGCGAAACCAAATACCAGGTTGGTCGTCGAGTGCCGTATTGCTACAACACAACACTTCGTCTTTTCCTCTACTTTACCTCGAGTTACATAAGCTGAACCAACCATCGTGCCGTTTCGAGAACTTTTCAGTTATCCATGAACATCACCAATGACTGCAAACCATAAAAAGTTTCGGATCCAACATTTTGCCCCACTTAACTTTGGTACAGACATACAGAGTAATTTAGTGATCACTGTGTTACCGTTCTACAGGATTCAGACGCAAGCGGTTTTGGTCAGAATGCCAACTCAAACTAAGCGCTCCAAAACTCAACAGCCAATAAATAGGGATACATCCACTGCTCGGTCAAACTTTCAACTTGTATCGTGTTACCCTAATCTCCGCTTCCCTCGTTTCCCTGAGAACGTCACAGTAAATCAGAGGAGACCAGCCAGTTGCTTTCAAGAACAAGTATTTCTGAACCGTTATATTCAGAGAGAAGCAGAAAACAAAGCTTAGTAATAAGACAGCTGTATCGCATAGCCGGCATGTAAAAACTGTACATAACGAAAGACTTTGTAATTTGCGGGTGTGAGCTGAACTGCGTTCATCGAGTGTCCCGATCCGTAGTCAGGGCAACTAAGCTGATATGCAAGCAGTAGGTAGACAGTATGCAAATAGTTTTCGATGCCACCTCAAGCATAGGTTTTCCGGATCATGGTTGCTAAGCCCCTGTCAGTCTGGTTACATCTCCAGATTGTGTGAAAGCGTGGCTGTTAGGTCCATGTATTCACACTAGTCGTTCGTAATAGTATTCAATAAAATATGTAATAAGCATTCATTTGCGTAGTATGCATGCTTCTCATGGTTGCATGCTTCGCAATAGGTAGGAGAGAATCAACTGCTTTATCCTTTACGTACCGGGTCCACATCGAGTGAATGTCGGATTTCTGTTAGCATCCCACTTCCTTTGGCAGGAGTTGGGTATGAAGCAGTAGCTTTCGCCACTGTATAAGTGATTTTCTTTCAGTAAATTTAGACAGTAATGACAGAACTAGCTCAGAAACTTGTTTAAATAGCTCTTCTCGCTGAACACCTCCAACAACTGGTTGGTAGGATAAGGATATCCGCGCACCTACAGAGGGTATACAGCTACAGGAAAGTGGAGAAAGCACCGGCGTCAACTGAGCCTCTGTCTTACTCCTGCGAAGGTGACGTAGCAGACCGACTTGTGTTCAACCTTTCCACTGCGCATGGTACACCAAAACCTAACAGTCATTTCGAAAGGTTAAAACTTAATGCAAAAGTTGTTGCATCTACTGGACGCCATTGATATCGACCCTTGCTTGTAACAGTTGGCGCGTCATCTGACGTGATGACATTAGATATTATTGACCCTCTGACCTACGCCATGCCAGAGGAAGGTTAAAATGCTCGGTGGAGGAAAAAAAATAAACACATACTTAACTGTCAAAAAGACGATCCCTGCCATCGGAGACCCATGATAAGCCAACAGCAGGTACCATGGAAATAAATCGGACTTACTCTTCCTAGTAATATGGCCAAAGCGCAGTTTACAAACAAAGTACGATTACAGCACCATTTAGTCAGTATTTGGAACAAGGTTAAACATATCTCTGTTGCTATTGGTGTGAGTAACACATTGCATTTAGGTGGGACCCAATGCTCGGCCTGGAATTTTCCCATTCCTATACCAAATGAAATCGGTTTCCTGCATTGACAAATTGTCGCTCCACTCCTATCCTTCTCAGAGTGAGCTGCAGTGGTGAGACAGCCAGTTGGTGGACAGACACTGGCGTGAGGGGCACAATAGACACGGGCGTTATAATACAGTGGGCTGAAAGACAATCGATTGCAGCAGCTGAGGGTAAAACCTAATCCATGGAATACCAATTGTATGTGATTGCGTTGAATTTTTCCCCATACACCGCTTTAGCGTGTTTAAATTCTTGGTTTTTACTGATTAGCTTCAATATACTGAATAATCTCTATGTCAGTACGCACAGGAGTGTGTTGCACACCCTAAGTTATTCTCTACAGACGCTCAACGACCTGTTTGCGAGTTCAGGGAAACAATTGCTTCAGCAGCATTCGGATTCAATACACCGTCCCGAAAGATGGTATCCCTTCGAACCAGATTGGCCAGACTGTGATGTGCGTCTAACGTGGCAGACGGAAGTGGCCACTTAGATGATGGATTTGAGCACATTCTACTTACATAGTAGTGCTCCGATGGGAGGGAGATTTGAATGGCAATTTGTTAGGCTTTAGATATTATGGAGCTGACTAAATTTGATCATGGTGAGCGCGATAATATCCCGAGGTTAGCGTTTTCTGTTTTAGAGCGCTACTGAACTATTGCAATGACCATGTAAACATTATGCAAGCAAGCCACAACCTTTAGCAATAGAGACGGTTTTTCACAAAATTCATAATACTCACTAAGATTTCACCGTTTGACTGTGAACCGCTGGCAACACTAAACGTACGGTCATTCCTAAAGTTACTGCGAAACACTGGTTGTACTGAGCAAATCAGAATATTTGCGAAAAGTTGAGTAACATGTGGAGACGGGTCCATATAGTGTAGTTGATTATAACACCGCAAGGCGGTACTGAATAAGAGTAGGACGGTTTGATAAATATTTAAGAACCATGAAGAATAATTTAAGCGTAGGCAAATGGCAGATAGGATACCGAAATCAACTTTGTCTCCGAGGTTTTAGGGCGTGCCAATGATTTAAGAAGTCTGAATCGACGATTTAGGCACACCGACCGATGAACTACTTAGACACATGGTAGCGATTTTGCAGCCTCTAAGAAAGCGAACAACTACACTGGAGATGAACTTTTACAAGTTGTCTTAAAGGAGAGCAGGTCACACAATCGAGTAAGATAACTTAATGCTAAGCATCAATGTGAACTCACTAAGGTATCCAAAGAAGAGGCGCTAAGGATCTCGAGACGTTGTCTAAATGAAGACATCACTCTTACTGATCGGGCGAAACTTACATTTGACGAGATAGTCAACGGTATGACAGAGTATCTTAATTTGGCCTTTCTCGCTTTTCGGTCGGAGTTGTACAGTCAGGAACAAGACATCACCATGGGATCTCCAATGTCCCCATATGGGAAAAGTTGTATACAACCAACTTTGAGAGCACAGTGTTAAAAACATCACCAGATCACAGAATGTTCTGTGGCGCTATTTAGATGACACCACTAATTGTTACGCTGAATAAGAAGAATAATTTGCTTGACCATTTACAATCCATTTACAATCCATTAGTTCACAAGAATGGGGGAAATTTAAAGACGCGTATGTTCCGTAAACCGAGAGATACTGATGAAGAACCCTACTACAATTCGGGCCATCCAAAACAAATTTGCACTGAGATAGTCTCAGTGCTGTTTTATTGGGCAAAATCCAGTACACGATGGATGAAGACATAATGGCCGCATGGAAGTAGGAAATGAGCAAACTATTAGATAGCGATTAACCTCGGAGGTTAGTCAGATTTCAGTTACATAACATGCTAAACCAAAAGACAAGGTCAACGACGGAGCGGACTGGAACGGTAGGAATTCCGTACAAGAAAAGAACTCGGAGACGATTTCGGTGAGTACCAACTAGGGAGAAAAAAGAGTGATCTACCAGTGGGGCCAACCACTAAGTTAAGAGATGATGCCCCTGAAGGGTCCCCTTTAAAATGATAAGACAACTAACAACGTCTATAAAAGTAAATATAAGGTCTAGTCACATGTATGTAAAGGCCGAACCGCAAACGAAAGCTAAACATACGAAGTTCAAGGCTCAAAAGCTCTTCACCCTCACCGAAGAACGAGTTTGGATTTCGGGTACTATTAAGGGACTCGGAAGTGGCATACATGCATTGGACACAGGTTACAAGATGGACTTGAATAAAATAGAGGTCATTAGGATGGGCATATGAGCAATTTCCCGGCGGTGGCTTGTCGAGCTGTTGGAATGCATCAAATCGTACAGTTGCCTGAGTAGAGTGGGTGGTGTAGAACTTCCGAGTGGATAGTAAGCAATCTTTATCCGACCAATCTAAAGAGCGTCGATGCTAGGATCAGGTAAGAAAGTGAAACTCAACTTTCCATTTTCACCACTATGGGTCAAATTGTCAACGCAGCGACGAAGAAGGGAACACCTGAACTATTCCCAATATGCCTGAACCATTTAGGGTGACATCCCAAGCTGTGACTGTAATAACACTTTGATTCATGTCTCGGTTAGCGTTATTATCATCCCTCTTTTCTATAAATTGCTGCTTCAATTACATACTGATTCGTCTGGCCTGACGAGGCTTTCTTGTCGAAATTTAAATGCTACCCAACAAATACGCCAACCGATTGTTTCCAATCATCTCTGAACTCATTGTTACAAAATAGTTTTTGTTAACCTTGCCATTAAGGTCCCTTCACCCATGGTACAGAGGGTTCAGAAAAGTACTTAGGAAACATATGGGAAGCATAGCTGATGAAACAAGATGTCAGATACGGTCCATTCAAAATGGTTGGATGTTTATTGCTAGTCTTAATTTCGACCTTCACCCGTCGATAAATTTGAACACATATTTCTAACAACTGCATGTCATCGAAGGAAGAGGGCACCATGTATCTAACTAACATAAGCTGTGTGGAATAAATATGACCGCAGGCGACCTGATGAGTTATGCCAGTGGTTTTGATTTGGTGACTAACAAGCACATAATTAAGTGGCGACGACCAGTTAAGTGAGACGATTGCAGGCTTTGATATGGCAACAGTGTTTGCGGGATACTACAGCTATGGCCTACTGAAACTTCTGTTTCACGACCAGTAAACATTACTTCTGTTGGACAAGCTCATAACTGCCTAAAAGTAGCTAAAATTTTGGTTTATAAAAGACACATTTAAACCTTGTTAAGGGAGCTTCGCGGCGATGTCCCTAAGGGCTTCGTTTAATTTTGGTGACGGTGAGTGAATTTACTGGATATACAGGAAAATAATTACGGATTACGTCTACCACTTGTTTCGGCACAGTTCTCTGATTAATTTTCATTAATGCTCATCAAATTATTCCATGTGTTTCGTCGTTATTTCGGCGTTGCTACTTACATTAACAATGTTGAACATGTTTGAGCAACTTTCTTTCGTTTTTGGTTTGGCGTCCAGCCATTTCCCAAATAGTGACTGCAATTCTGGTTGACTTGTAGAAAAGTACACAATAGTTCCGGTGAAATAAGCGCCATTTGATCATACACCACCTGGGAGTGACAGCAGATATTCCTGATAGCACCCACCGTTCCTTATCACAGTTCGATGGAACCATAGTGTACACATTCCGGTGTGATAATGCCATTTGTGGCTCGTTCTGATGCCAAGAAATCAGGTTCGTTAATCGTTAGACTAATTATGTTAAAATTGTTCAGTAGGTTGTATTCAACAACTGGCCAAATTCATTGATGGAGAAAGCCGAAAACATATGGCTGGACTCGTACATATAAGAGCTCAAAAATTACAGTGTTTTGTCACATCCTGAGGTCAGTAATCAACCATTACGATACGCATGCAAAATGCTAGTAGGTTATTAGCAAAGTGCTTCATAGTTGGCGCACGACAGCCTAAAGATTCAAATATCCAACGTGTTGGCATTCATCGTAAGATGTACGATGAGTGATGCGACAGCGACTCCATCATATCTTTTCGTCACTTAAACTACCTTGAGGTGGTCAGTAACTATTCAAATAATAGGTAGGATGTCATGTTCGGTCTGAGGTAATAGGACCAACAGCAGCCGATCAAATGATGAGCTAAGCCGTCGACCAATAACATAACCTGCGATTTTGCGGCAGACTATTCCCACGCAGGATAAAAGCCAGAATCTTACACAATTTTCATAATGTTGTATGAGAAAAGAATGAATAGATTGAAAATGCGAAGTCTAAACAGTTTGAAGATGAGTTGTCGGAAAAATATACGGACTCTCAAATCCTTTCATAGACTTAGAATATTTATTCTAGAAAGTGTGTTAATTCTCTAACCTCGGCTGATACCTCTAGCTTTTAAATGCTCATGCTTATTTTATCATTTTCGTTGATGACATCCGTGGCACATTTCATGGAGAAATGATTGAATTATCTGATAAGAAAGGTTTTATTTATAAATATATTAATACCTCTACATCGAGAACTAAGCGAAAACTTGTACGTGTTACCGGTTCGTTCTATTTCTGATAACGGACAAAACAGTCAGAATCTAGCACTGGTGCTCTGCTTTCGTGTGTGAGGGTTTACTGGGCAATGTGGAACTTCCAATATGAGAAACAATGAAAAGAGCTTAGATCAGAAAAACCTAGTCTATTTTTGAATAAGCAAGTATGGCACAGTACCCAAATGTAAACTAAAATATTTGATACACATATCATGCTGCAGTCATGTGTAAAAAGCTCTTCGCCGTAAGCAAACTGCCGTCTTATCGTCCCACTGTAAAAGTGGAATGAATAAATCTTTATTTGGTCAATGCAGGTACTTCTCTGTTATTTCGAACCCATATTTAAACTTCGCCAAGTCGAAGTAGCTGTTAAAATCAAAAATACTATGGTAATGTAGCGTTAGCGCCGGTAACACACTAGTCTGGACCAACTTGTCTCCGCA